TTCTATAAACTTTTAGGCGAGTTCACTTTCCAGTGATTGATGTCTTATTTACTTACATTACTTTCAATGCAGCAGATGTTTACATTACAACTCTTTATGTTTCCTATTTCATGACATTCAATAGGGTATAGTTATTCAAGTTTATTAGTTTTTATTGTAGCAGCGGTAATCGATCAGTGTTATTTAGTTTCAGAAGAATATTCAGCCAGATGTAGAGATTATAATTATAGTAGGTCCATGACTTCGATAGGTTTTTAATAATTATTGTTTATAGATATCAATACAGAAGGTTTGGTTTGATAACTTTCAATAGATTGAATGTTAGATAGATGATTAATAATAAAAATAATATATTTTTAATATCCTAATAAGTAGAAAAATTAAGTTTTCTGACATTTCGTGACTCAGTGTAAGGCAGGAAATATTAATTTTTATTTATAATACTAATGACATAGTACTTTTTACTTTATTTCTGTCCTAAAAATTAAATATCTTTATACCGTTGTGAACACTGGAAGCCGTAATCCACAAATATGGATAATTTGAATTATTGTATTTGTTTTTAAGTTCAATTAAATATTATTGTAGTGGTCCCACTGAAATCGGGGATTCATTAGGTTTTTTTAGTTTTTAGTGTAAATCTTGTGCCTTAAATAAAGGTACTTCTAATAGTTAAAGTAACCCATTGTAAAGAGAGCAAGAACAAAAATTGGTGCAGAATAATATGAATTCATTTTATTTTGTTAGGTTCTCATCAGCTGCTTACAACCTAAATTATTTAAAATTCAACATTATTACAGATATTGACATATTTATACATAAGAGGGTGATTAAGGATGAATAAATGTATCATGGTGTAGCGAAGATTCCGATAGAGTTAATGAGGTCATAAAATTTTGTCTCGAATAAATAAATTTTGAGAGGGAAAGTTCCGGAACATTGAAATAGTGATTAGAACTCATGAAAATAGATTAATGGTAATAAAGAAAATATGAATTGAAATCAATCATTTATGTATGATGTAATTTAAACTTCAAAAAGAGTTGGAGTAATGACGCAATAAATAAAGAAAGAGAGAAATAAACAAATAGAAATAAATGAATGAAAAAAGGGGGTTATTGTTACCAGAGTAAAGAAAGATTTGTTACTGTCTCTTTTTGTATACATAGGTCTTGTTTTAGACGTTTGATTGCTAATGCTTTAGCAAATTTCAGAAGGTTGGAGCATGATTGTTTAATAATCACTTTGAAGGACTTCAGTGTATCGACTTCGTGTACTGTGTCAAGGAGATGTCTTGCGATGGCACTGTTGGATGCTTTCAATCCATTTGATGTTAAACGTTTCGAAATATGTTCTTTGAATCGGACGTCGACTCTCCTTTATGTTCTACCAATGTAACTGCTTTGGCAGGTACATGTGAATTTGTATACACAGTTGGTGGTAAAATGAAAGGGATACATAATCAAAGGTCGACAAGCTGATGAGAACCTAACGAAATAAAATGAATTCATATTATTCTGTACCAATCTTTGTTCTTACTCTCTTTAAAATAATAAAGGGAACTATGTGTATGAAGTAACCCATTGTATTGTTAAATAAAAATCACATGAATTTAGCGGAAAAAAATTTCGCTCCTTTTTCGACGAAGTTAATCAATCATTTTTTTGTTGGTTTTGTATTATATATACAGTTGAGGCACAAATAGCTCAGTGGTAATGTCTCAGAAGTACTAAAGTATAGCAAAGCAATCACAGTTATTGCAGTAATAAGAGTAGTAATAGTAGCAGTAATACTTCAAGACGTTATTGAAACGACCTAATATTAATAAAAAAAGTATTCGGGACTACAATAAATGACATAATCCATGGTTCTCATATCTGTCTTACCTCTAAAATAATTGAATGTGTAAGAATTTTAAAACAAGAAAAAACGGAATAAATACACTTCAACAGATAATATGTTTGTTATTCTTCCACTTACAAAAGTTTATCAGTTATATTAATCATTGGGAATAATGAATAAATAATAACGTAACCTATTTGCCGACCACTCAGCTTTAAGTCATACCTTATTTATTTAACCCTACTAATATTTATTGAGTTGTCTAAAATAAAGCAGAAGAAATGTTCAACATTCCTGACCTACTGGTTAGAAGCTGAATGATTCTATCACTAAGCCAAGCCCATTCCTAATGTTTAATCAAGAACTTATGCTAAGTTGTTTTCTAAGGCGATGTTGTTTTTGATAACTACTAATAACTGTTTCGTAATTATCTTGTCGTAAAACTATATGAGTTGTTATTATTTAGCTTTCCATGTTTTTTTCTTTTTATTGTTTCATGTATTTATCATATGCGTTTTGCCGCATCTAATCATTAAATACTTCCTTTTTTTCTGGTTTACAATTTCCATTATTATTATTATCATCATCATCATTAAGATATATCTTCGAACATTTATCATTCCACAACTTATTCATCGATTATCTTATTCTCCTGAACTATCTATTGACCAAGAATTGATCCATGTTCAACCCGATTGTAAATCATTTATCATTGACTGTTGCAATGAACAAGTTGTGATAGTAAGTTCATTCTAAATAAATTTGTTTTTTCCATTCATAACAATAAAAGAAGATATATAGATATGAAATATTCTTGTTTAAAACAGTTAATTCCTTTGGTTATCCAATTAGATAGTATGTAATGAGATGGTGAAGTTTATCAGAATATTAATGTGATTTACATCAGTTGAATACATTTCTAATAATCCAGTTTAATGACATACTAATTTGTTCAGATATTTAGATAAAAAATAAAAGATCTCTAAATTATTGAGAACATTAGAATACTGAAACCTAATTATAGGAGACATTGTTATCTACAATACTGTTTATATTAATATGGTTAAGGAATCAATAAACCCATCTACACTCGTCTCAGATCATTTCTAAGTAACAATATGAAATTCTGATTGTATTCAGTCTTCTGAATTGCCTTAACTGTATACTTTACAATAAATAGATGACGGGTGTTTATCTTCTGTCCATATTGAATTATTGAGATTTATTTTATTTCATAACCATGTTATCACCTATTTGTTTGCAAGTTAAAAATAATATCTCATCTGTATGTATGTACATACTTACTGGTAAATTGGTACGCTGTATTGTACGATGGTGTTTGACATTTTGATGAACCATAAACATACTCTTTTCATTAATAATAATAATAATGATAATCATAGTAGAGATAATAAGCTTAATAATATTTTATGTTTAACTGATCGCCGTATTAAAGTTTCCATTTCAACATATGGCTAATCGACTTATATCTCAACAATAGGAAACTAAAGGTGTACATCCTTTCCAATTTTTCTTTATTTTCCTTAATTTCAATAAATATCTTTTGTACAAAAATATTTCGTTGAATAGCTTCATTTCATTTTCAGTAGTATTTTTAAGTAAATGTAATCAATCTAATATTTGTCTCATAGTTCAGATTAACTTTGTTTTCATATTGCACTAATTCAGTTAAATACAAACCAAAACATTCAAAGTAACCAAATAAACTATCAAGATTTTAAAAAATGTAAGTGCTTCATTATGTTAAATGTATTGTCAACAATTAAAGCTGCAAATAGTTGTCTGTCTGTTTTCCTATGTGTGTCGTTATAAAACTGTTGAAATCATAGCACGGTCAGTGATTTGTGAATATTTAACTACAGAAGAATTAGATTTACCTAAGTAATGAGTGTGGCATAAACACGATGAACCCTAACAGCATTCATTTTTTGAAAACTAGTAACCAGTGAAATCTTACCAAACTGTATTTTTCTGTGTCACACGTTCGACTCAGTGCTTAACGGATTCTACTTTCAATCAGTAAATTATGTGTTTGGTAGACAGATAACTCTAAATGTGATTTATTTACTTATATTTCAAAACCGAAACGAATTTCATTGAATTCATTTTAAGGACTTAATTCTTATTTCAGACTGACACTTTGAATTTAATTTTAACCTACTCATAAATTTATAAATTTTAGGAAATATTTTACTGTCCAGAAATAACGCATCGTAGAATGCAAAGCGATTACTCTCTCTCACTCTTTTATTTTTCATCATGATATAGTTGTGTTTCCAATTGTAATTTAATGATTTTAGGATGATTTTGACATATTGAAAAGTACTGTATCAATGCATAAATTTATAGGCAATCAAAATATATTAACAGAGTGCTCTTACAAACAGTCAGGAAGTCTTATTCTTATTTGCACTACTGAATTGCCAGTGATTTCAAAAATGTTCAAAAACGAGAGACTTTTGTTAAGCAAATGTAACAGTTTAAAAAAAACATTTTCATCAGAAACTGGTATCCATAAAATAGTTGAAACTTATGTTAATAACCATATACTCAATGATACCAAACTTCAGGTTAGATTTCACAGTCACTGTATGAAGATGAAGCCCATGAACTGTGAAGTTAACTGGATCGATGTAAGAAAAACGCACATCAATCAAATGTAGTCGTAATCATTGAATGTAGCTAAAAGTGAATCTCCTTCAGTAACAGTTTACTGACCCAACGCCTCTGTATGAATTTCATCACCAACTAATTCCGTTTAGACAGCTGGATTATATCACTAGCGATCACATAAAAAAATGTGATCCAAAACTAAGCAAATAAATCTGTGAACATTTCACATAAAAGTAAATAATCCCAGAAACTTTTGCTTCAATTTATCCAGGTCACAGTAATGCCCAAATTTTATAGTTTCGATTCCACGTAGTATTTTATGATTGGATCAGCCGTAAGTCTTAAATGGCGTTTTTATTCATCGCTCGTTTATTTTCAATAGTTCCCCACTCTCTATTAATTAATAACGACCATCAACCTGTAAATTACATGAATACTTATACGTTTAAATGTTTGATTTCTAAACTTATAAGCTTAATTGTTCATAAGCAGATAAATAAAAAGCTATTGAATAAAAACAGTGTATTTATTTAAAGTTAACACATTTTTACGCGTAATTTCAAAATACATACAAAAATTAAAAGGTATTGAAATAAACAACAAGCTAAGATGCATTAAAATTGGTTGAAAGTTCACTAAGAAATAAAACAAACATTTACAATAGTTTCTATTGTTAGTTTGGTTTTTGTAGTTGATTACTATTATCTCCATCGTATTATGTTGTTTCATTAAATGTGTCTACACTCTTAAAAAATGAGCTTGATTGTATTTCGTTTGTTGAAAATATTAAACAAACTGTGAATTTAACTGAGCATATTTCGTGTTTACAATATACCATCACTATTGTGTATTTTATTAATCCGACTCATTTACTAAGTATTCATTCGTGTAGTCGACCATAAACGATTATTATTGCATGTGGGCCAATGATACTACCCGATCTCTTAAACCAAATTAATTGAAGCGGTGCTCAAACTTGTGACCAAGTGATTGAAAGGTCAAACTTTTAACTTCCTCTTCCCTCAAACCAGTACTTCATGTAAAGTTTAACGTTTTACAAGTATAACTATACATACAATATGAGAATTTATTTAAGAGAATATTTAATTAATGTATAGTGGATTGTGCTTCATTTACATACTTTCTAAGTGGCTGTAATGGTCCTTTCAAGAATAATCGATAAAACACTTGTCGAAATTCTTGCATTCTTTGCCAACAAACAAATATTGCTGAAGCATTCTGTGCAAATATACATTGCCATGCTATATCGGCAATATTATAAGCTAAACGTACTGATTGTTCCGATTGTGATTTCTCCATCACAGATGGAAAAAAGAAAGCAGCTAAATATGCAGCACATTGTGGTAAACTAAACAATAATAATGTTGTTGCTAAAATGAATAAAATTACACTAGCTGACCATTCTTTACTTTCAATCGATTGTGGATCAGCTAAACGTTCTTTGGTAAATGTTTTACGCATTTTTATCATAAATATGATGTTCAATACAAGTATAACTATTGTTTGTATAAAACCAGCATTATTAAATAATATAATAAATATTTGCAAAAATGCTTGACTTTCATGTAACCAACATGTTGTAAATGTGCCAATATCATGAAAATCAACTAATATTATAACAGGTAAAACACATAAGAATGAAATGAAACTAACTCCACCAATCAAATACCATGCATAATATACAGGTATTGTACGATATTTTAATGGATAATATATACATAAACAGCGATCTATACTAGTTAATAATAATAAATTACTTGCTAATGTTGATGTCAATGAATAGATACCACGATAGAATCGACATAATTCAACAGATTCATAAATGATAAAATAATATATACGTCCTTCACTAGCAAACGGTAAACCTTTCGCTGGTATCATCCATAGGATACCAAGAAATAGTATAGTAATTGCATCAGACCAACATATAAGTGACATATAAATTGACTGTCGACTTAATTTCTTAAATTCATATAAAAATACATAACCAATATAAATATTTGTAATGATACCGAATATACAAATAAATGGTAGAATGTAAATAGAAATTGCACCAACCATACTTGAAGTTATGCATAATGCTAAACTAGCATTTGGGTCACCACTGTAATATGCATTGCAATCCATTAAAGTATCATATGGTGTATCAATAAATCGCCATACTTTTTTTAAAGTTGTGTTATTCATGATTTATATATATAAACATATAAGCTTTCGTTTAGTGAGATTTTTCGTCAAGTATTTTGACAAATTGATGTTTTATAGTAAGTCATAAGGAACTACTCATTGTGGATTTCGAAGCAGTATTTATATTTATATATATAGTGATTACCCAATAGACTTGAGTCTAGCGTTTCGTGTAAACTTTAATTATCTGGACACAATATTGTCGCCCTATATTCTATATATATATAAGTAATAGTTTTGGTAATATCTAAATAATGATGATATCAATTCATTAAGGTCATTTGTATCTGCAGTAGTTATCGATAGGTAAGAAGAACCGTATATATTGTCTTTAAAATCTGGAGAAAAACTAAGCAATTAATTAATTCCTTTCCTATCTCTGTGACAATAAAAATGAAAAGAGCAAAACAGTCTTTTTTTGTTGAGGATTTTGTAATTTTTCTTTCCTATCTTAAAATCAAGATGAATTAAATAATAAAAATAATAATTATAATAACGAATCAGGTCAATAATTTTATGTTACTCGATAAACTAATTGCTATCACTACTAAGAATGAGATGGTCGATTATTTATGTTTGTTAAGATTTTGTTATTAAACTATTTAATCCTTATGGTTAGGTTTTATATTTTACAACTTAATATTGAAATCAGACGATATTGATTGTTGTCAGTTTCTATTCATAGTCATTAGTGTGAATGTATAATAATATATAGTGGCCAAGTTATTTGGCTAATGGAGACATTACAATATGATCGATACAATTCAATCAGCATGAAAAAATTAGACAAACATTGATATCAGTCGTTGATAAATTGTACATATCTGAGTTGTACATGTCTTCATTCACGGTGTACAAAGCTCAGTGATAATATTTTTGATTGTAATATTAAGTGTTACCGGTCCTAACCTCACAATGAGCATCATTTCCCCAAGATCACAGATGCACACAGTTGATGAATGGCAGGTATCATAGAAGCTAAGTTATAAACTTCCTGTTGATTTTCATTTAACCATCATGTTATGGAGTCATTTAAACTTATGATCGCAACGTAACTACATTGATAGAATTCTGCCAACTCTAGTGATTAGACAAACATAACATCGGTTACTTCACAGTAATCAATAAGTGGTATAGTCTATTCTTTGGATATATTCCATATATGGGCAATAGTGGTTACAGTAGTAAGTTTTAATTTCGCTTATAAGTTCAATTCGTTTTCTAACTGGTTATATTTTTATTACAATGCAATTTACAGAAAGAAGATAAAATCAATCCTCATATTGTACCAAAGTACACAAATGCTGAGGAATGTGCATGTAACGTTGAGATAAATGAAAAGCATATTAACGGTAAGATGTATATTCTCTAATGTTTTAATACGAATTTCATATTCACACATTAACAATAGTTTCGTTTATAATATACCCTGGTAGATGTTTTTTCTATATATATATATATATATATTTTTTTTTATATCCAGCTGTGTAAAACTGTACGTCAATGATGTGCATATTTGAATCTCATTAAACTAGGTAACCGCAGGTTAAAACTTCAACCCTACCTTGTTTAAGTCGTACTTTAGCCTAAATATAATGAATATGTTTCATTACCCAGTGCAATAAATTGTGTACTCTTGATTACTGTTATCTAGAAAACAACTTCGAATGTAAAAGCGAATTTTATCGAACTGTGTTTAATCTTTTTCAAATAGTATTTTACATCATAAATCCAAATTTCATGAAAATTTTCAGAGTGAACAAAATGTTGTCAGAAATAGTTTATCCATTGTGAGTTTTCTGTTTTTTGGCATGCACTCCATGGATGAGCACTATATTGGTAGAAATTTGTTGTCGATATTACTGCTCGGTATCGCTTCGATCAACACTATCCTCATGGAAATAGGTAGAACAGAATTCGGAACTGTGAGTTCACTTGTTGAAAGTTTGGTGTTCTAACGATAGAACTAGCAGTTCTGCATAAGTATCAACCAATGGTAATAAAAAATTTTATGTTGCAATCAATGTAGTGTCTGGAACATACGTTGTCCCACGTTGTCATAATATATTCACACGATGAGACAAAACTAATTAGATGATTAACATAAGCATCAAAATAATTTAGTGACAACGATAAAAGAAACTACTGAACATTGAGAATACGGTTCAAAAAGGCAGAGTAGGAAGATGTATGTGAAGTAATACGGATATTCACTTTCTTGAGTCAGATAAAGTGAATGTATCTGCGTCAGTGTGGTCGATTTTGAGCCACATTACCTAAAATCTCCAAATATAATGAATGTTTTGAGTAATATTTAACTACAAATACTGTGATTATTTCACAGGTTGAAATCATGATTCAATTGAAGCTAGACCAGTAGTTAAGTGCTCGCGCGCGAAGCTAGTAGGTCCTGGGTTCGAGCCCCGCGTAGTGCGGGATCGTGGATGCGCACTGCTGAGGAGTCCCATACCAGGACGAAACGGCCTTCCAGTGCTTCCAGGTTTTTAATGGTGGTCTAGCTTCAACTGACTCATGATTTCAACCTGTGAAATTTCTAAAACTCTCCACAAAACCCATTCTGACTGTGATTATTCTTTAGTGTAAATATTTCAAGTATTTAGATCGCAAATTCTATCCACTTACTACTTAATCAACGTTGTTAATTTAATTATGTAGAAGTAAAACGTTTTTATCTCTTAAAAATTGTAATATTGTTAATACAATTTCTCAATGAATTATTTAATTTATTAAGTTGTTTGATAATGATCTACACTGAATCACATTATGTGCATTTTGTCCTATATAATATTATCCATCAGCTGAACACACTGGGATCCTACTGTATATGCATATTGAATTAAGTTTTCATTACTCCAGATGCAAGTACATTATTTATTAAGCTATTGATTTTTAATAGCTATCAAATTACTCAAAATGCAATGATCAAAATGTATCCCTTGTATATCAATAAAGTAAAAATACAAACTATGTACATATAATAAGTTTTACTCACATTTAACTCACTCATAGACGTCTTTGAACGATTGTTTTTGTTTCATGGGACAACCTTGTGAGCAATGTTAATGTTAGACCCATGGTACTAGGTAAAGGTAGGAATTTTAGTTGATAAAGTTACAAGTCTTCGTTGACTTGAGGTGGTTAGGAAATGCAGTGAGCGATATCAGCCATGAAGTCATTAACTTTTGGTCTGAGCCATACTGGATGATACGGAATCTCCGGCTGAGGTGCTCTTGATAACCATGATCAGTGGATGGAGACTTTGAATGATACGGGTTAGAATACACCACAGTAGTGCATGAACATTCACTCTTTATCTACCTCTAAACAGTGACTCTGTGTTTTTGAACCATATTCTCAATGTTCAGTAGTTCTTATTATCGTTGTTACCTCGTTGTTTCGATATTTTTGCTAATCATTCTATTAATTTTGTTTCATCTGGTTTATATGATATAACTTGGGCTGTTGTACATCTGTACCATGCTCTTCGTTAATAATGACTGACTAACTCATCTATAAACAACGTAGAATCCACATGAAATGTAACAATTTTCATCAAGAAATTGAGAAATGAATCCATGTAATAATAAGTAGTAATTAATGGTGGAGAATAAACAAAACATAGAAGTCAAATGAACCCCTACTGTGCACTATTTATGGCATGTAACATATGATCTTCAACCGAAGCTTACAATTAAACTATGACATTTCAATTAGGATGATTACAGTTCCTAGTATAGACCATTTAAACAATAAATGACTTCATAAAGTAATGCTATATCTTGATCTGACGGCTGCCTAGATTTTTTTTCAACTTACTCTCGTATCAATCAACATATAAGTGTAAAAAATGGTTAAATATTCATAAAAAATATGTTGTAGTGATTTCACTTTCATTAACTGGTTTGTCAATTTCACCTAAAACTCTATACTTCTGAGGTGTTATTCATGTTTGTTTTCTAATAAATTTGGAACATATTTCTATTTCTTATTTTATGCATTGAAACTCTTCATTATTTATAGCTTCCATAAGTGTATCATCGAATAAAAATAATACCATGTATGAAGTTGGGTCAGTTTCCACGTTGAAAGTGGATGATGATTCTACAATTCAATGTGAAAAATCTGAAAGTTTGAAATCAACTGTAAGTGATTTCAAGAGGTGTTGAATTTTGATTTAATATATTTGTTGAAAGTAAAATTCATCGATTCCTTCGATTAAACAATTTTAAATTTACTTTTGGATAAGTTCAGTATACTGATCAAGCTGATGAATAACATTTCTATTTATATGCCAAAGTATTTTAATTCAGTGGAGTTGACTGCCTGTCTTAATAATCGATAGTTGAAAATGAACAAATAACATTTATTTGATGTGCAATGTGTCACAAATATTTTAAATTTTTCACTCGGGGCTTACCGAAATATAACATTTTTCGTGTAATAAAATTCCATCATCTACTTACTGTTAATTTAGTAGTTTATCTGTGAATAATTATGTGATAAGAAGCTGAAAGCAGAAATTTATCTTTCTTGTTGCTCATTTTGTAAAAGTTGAAAGGAATCAAATGTTATTTGTCCATCCTGGTATTAACATTATTGGATATAGCTGTATAAGTAGACAGTCAACTATAAACCTTCATACACCAACGAGTTTTGGATTGTGGGTTTATATTAA